AGAGGAAGGCGATGGACCAGAGGCTGCTGAAATGACTAAGTCTGGAAGAAGACCAGAGGCGATGAATTGGTCCAGAGGCGATGAATTGGTCCAGAGGCGATGAAAATGGACAAGAGGCAATGAATTGATCCAGAGGCGATGAAAATGGACCAGAGGCGATGAATTGGTCCAGAGGCGATGAAAATGGACCAGAGGCGATGAATTGGTCCAGAGGCGATAAAAATGGACCAGAGGCGATGAATTGGTCCAGAGGCGATGAAAATGGACGAGAGGCGATGAATTGGTCCAGATGCGATGAAAATGAAACAGAGGCGATGAATTGGTCCAGAGGCGATGAAAATGGACCAGAGGCGATGAATTGGTCCAGAGGCGATGAAAATGGACCAGAGGCGATGAAAATGGACCAACCCTTGGAAACATACAGATCTGGGCATAACATTAACTAACCTCAAAATATGGGATATTAATTTTCCAGAAAACTTCAAAATATCCATTCTATTTTAGTGATAAAATCACCCAAAACACAATTCCAAACCGGATATAACGGAGTTTTTACTCACAACTCGAATTATGTAGCAAAAGTATACGGGACATATTTATAACCGAAACAAGACTATATATAAGATATACTTACTACATCTATGAGATGTCGTAATAAGCTACAATTTACCAAAAACAAGATTGATATCTTCAAGTTCCCCGATAAATCTTCAAGTCAAACAACGGGTTCCTTCTTTTTGTCCGTCTTCTTTTCTGAGAGAGGTTGCCACTTAAATGGTAAGCCAACACTTAGTGACTTAAATAGTTAAGTATTACATATCAATATCGCACATGTTTATAAACATACATAATAAACTCTTATCAATAAAAGAGTTCAAGATATCATCCAGATGCAAACCGAGACTTACAAGAAACCGAGTGAACAATTACGTACCGGATGCTAAGATCAAAGAATTCCATATTCAAATCACCATAGTATACCATACCATTGATGCTCAATACAACAAGGAGACAGGATCAACAACCAAATATATTCAGCAACGTTAGAATACCAATAAATATCAAGAAGCAAGAGATCGAATCGGTATACATAACGAGGACAGTGCATCACCCCGTCCTTCACCTCCCGGGCTCATGCCAAAGTCCAAATCAGAACCGTACATTACGGGAAACCTCGCACTGCCCGCCTTCCTCTACCGGGTATGTGCCAAGGCTCCCTACTCATTGCTCTTCCTCCTCTTCGAGCAATGAGTATTCACAACCGCAGAAAGTCTCTCCCGTCCAACCCAGGATCTTGACTTCACCATAAACTTCCGGCGTGCCACATGAAGTAGTACCCGTACTATGGCATACAATTCAAGGAACAAGACAACGAGTTCGAATCCGGGAAGCAAACCGATGTACCGAGATAGTAATATGGAAAGATTCAAGAGACGAAATCAAAGACAAGTCAAGATTGTGTGAATCAATTCAAGACCAAAAACATTCGTGTGAAAATATATATGTTCAAATTAACATGTAAGAATTAACTATATAACTCACTGGGCAACCGTATAATACCGAAAAACTTCGAATAGAGCTCACAAAGCAAGTCCATTCTACCACATTTAGATTGCTTCCAAAGTATCAAAACATGTCCTAATTACCCCCTGGAGTAAATGTACAAAATCTCATAAGCAATCAATATAAGAAACTCATGATATACACATCCTATTTGAACATTTTACTTAGATTTCTAAGTACAGCTGCTTCATGCAGAACTGTTTTGCCCATTTTAAACTCGAATTCATGCATTGATCATATAAATAAGAAATAAAATAGACTCAATTATATAACTAAGGAAATTGGCCTCACATCATTTGGATTATTTTACGATTTTATACAGATTTTTAAAGTCTGCATACTTTCAATGCATTCTTAAGTCGAAATTCTCATTTTCAAACATTTTTCTCAAACCATTTCGATTCCAAACTATTCCAACTTCTGAATCTCAACTTAATATAACATATTTGACATAAACAACCAAAATCCAACCTTTATTTTATTATTTATATTATCTCCCAAATCATTGACTTAATCAAGTCAAAGTTCATATGATGAACTTGCATAAATCTTGATAATCTCTTGAATCTAATGATCATTTCATGCCATAAACACTAAAATGCACTCATTTTATACACTTAAGATCAAACCCATATGAAACCCTAACTCTAACTCAACATGCAATCGATATAACAAGAATGTCAACCAAAAACAAGTGCAAAAATAGATTATACCTTACTTGATGATCAAATCCTTCAAAGATCTTGTACTTCCTCTTTGATTTGAGTTGAATCAAGCCTATGTGTGTGAAAATCGTACCTCTAGTGTGTGTGTGAGTTCTGGACTTAAATGACAAGAAAAATGGGCCAAAACTCCAATTTATAACGCTAAAACTCGAGTTGGGTCGGGTTGGCCCAGCTAGGTACCCATTTTGATCATCAACACTTAAATTATTCATAACTTTTCGTTCGGACCTCCGTTTTCTATGAGGTTTTCGCCTACACATTTATAAAAAGATAATCTATAACATCCAACAACAATATTCTAGAAAAGATATCCCAAGAAAATCAGTTTTACATATCTATTTGACGTAAAATTTTCCCTAATCCTCTTATATA